CAGAGATTGAACTCGGGTCCTTCCACTTGCAAAGCAGGCACCAAAATCACTGAGTTAAATCCCCAGCCCTCCTAAGATTATCTTATCATGGTATTTTTTTTCTTATCATGCTATTTTATCAAAACTGGGAATCTGGCAGATATGGCTATATGCCTGTAATCCTAACTCCTTGGTAGGCTGAGACAGGAGGATTGCAAGTTTGAGGTCAGTCTGGACAACAAAATTCTCTCTCAAAAAAAAAAAAAGTAAATAAATAAAACAACTCAAAAACTAACCAAACAAGCAAGCAAACAAGCAAAAACTAGGAATAGTCTTCATGTTAAGCACACATCATAATTCTATATATGTGTGTGATACTATTTCTTTGTTTGCTTGTTTGATTGATTGTTTCTGTGGTGCTGGAGACTGAACCCAGAGCCTCTCACATGCCAGGCAAGTGCTCTACCATGAGCTTTATCCCCAGCCCACACACAGTGATTCTTATATGTGCTAAGGACGCACTGATCTGATAGAAAAGTTTTTCCAGGGGAATACGTTTCAGCTGTTACTTGAAACACAAGCATAAGTTAGTACTGTAAAGGGAACAGGGTGTGATCCAGGCAGATGGAACCAACTGTGTCAAAGCTGAAGGGTGATAAAGAACTTAGAGCATTTGAAGATGATCCTAACAGCAAGAATAGTAATTTATCGATACTTGCCATATGTCAAGCCCTTTAGAACAATGTTTCACTTAATTCTTCACCCCAACTTTATAAAGTGGGAAATATTATCATTTCTATTTCATACAAAGGCAATCAAGAATTGAAAGAAATGACTTGCCCAAGGCCATCTACCTGACTGCAAAAGGACAAAGGCAGGATTTGAACTCAGGAGTCCTCTTTTCCAATTCCCTTTCTCCCATGAGGTCCTAGTAATGTTTATCTACCTGCTTACAGCAAGAAGCAAAGCATTAACACATTCCTGCTAGCTTGAACCCATGGTGGCACAGGCATGACTGTCCCATCAGGTGGCAGGCGACGGTCTCATTGAGTAGTGCAGGTGGCCCCAAGGGACAGTCGTGCATGTGCAGCCCTGTCATAAATGTGCTCAATAAATGGCCTTCCTTCCCCGGTCTGCTCTCTCCCTCTCTGCCCAAACTATTCATCTTTCAGGGCTGAGAGAGTCCTCCCCATTTGAAAGCTGTTTCTTCCTTTTTCTTTTATTGAATTAACAGTTGGGTGAATGAATGGAAACAAAGAGCATTAGCAACAATCTGCCATTATATATTCATTTGTGTGTTCATCTGCTTAATGTTTTTCTCTCCCACAGTACTGTCAACCCTATAACAGCAAGGACCGGGTCTGTTTGGTTCACCAGATATCAGTACATGTGTACTAAATATCTGCTGAATAAATGAAGATAGGAATGCAAAGATTTTTTTTGGACATTGAATGAATGATTTTTATTTTTGAGAAAGAAAAAACCAATAGTTTCTGGATATTATTTAAGATAACAGTCATAGTCTCCCTCTTTCTTTAGCAAAATCTTCGGCCTCGCTTGCCCATGTGTAATAATCCATAGCAAGTGCCAGTGGTAGCTGGTTGCAGGGGCCCACATCTGCAAATCTAACACTCTCAGAGGCTAAGGCAGGAGGATGGCAAGTTTGAGTCCAGCCTGGGCAATTCGGGACTTAGACTCTGTTTCAAAATAAAAGATAAAAAGGGCTGGGAAAAAGGAAGGAAGGAAGGAAGGAAAAAAGAAAAGAAAGAAAGGAAAGAAAATGGCTTGGGATAGAACTCAATGTAAAGGTCTTGGGTTTAATCCCAAGTACTTAAAAAAAGAAAGGAAGGGAGAAGGAGAGGGAGAGGAATAGAAAGGGTGGAGTCAGTGGTTTTTATTATATAAAGACAGATATGGGAAAGACCTTGGTCTAACTGACCAAAGAATCATCTCTTTGACTGTGGAAAAGTTCAGACTAGAGATAGGGTGGGAAGTCTCTGTTCAAAAATATCATCAAGAAGAAAATAGAACACAACCCAGAAAGTCAATTGCCTTCAAAGAGGGAAGGGGCCAGTGACCTCCCTAGCCCTTTTCCTATTCTGGGCTACAGATTTCCAACACAGCACCAGAAAGCTAGCACAGTGACCACATTGCAGGTGAAGGCATAATTGCTCTTTACTTCCCCTGGCTCCCCCAGTGTTAAATTAGCTTTATGTCAATAACACATTGGCAGCTAGGATGAATTATTGAAGCTCATTCACTGCAATGGGCCCAGGTTCCACTCACTTTATGGAATGAGGGTGAATGTGAGCATGTTATTTCTGTTTGTCTTGTTGCAGTCAGTACTTTTCAGCCTGTTGTTGATATGAAGGGACTCATCCTGATGGGCAGATCATCCCAGCCGCAGCTTCTGATGAAGGCAGCAGAGATAGGTACAGTAGGAAGGCCAAGTAGCAGTGGTCTGGGAGGAGCATAGGCACCCCGGTGCTAGCCCCTAATTCACAGGGCCTTTCAGTTACACACTAATCCCAACATTGGCTGATACACACACAAGCAAAGGCCAACCACACACATACACACACGCACATGCACAGACACACGTATATGAGTGTTCCCACTCAGAGTATGAAGAAAGCTACATTCGCCACCATGGGCTCAGCAGGAAAATTATGAGGGGGCTTGCAGTTTAAAGAATGAGAATTTTCCAAAGGACTGCAAATTTCAAAGCCTTCTCCTCCTGCTATATTCAACACCAATGCAATGTTGGCTAGTTTGTTGCCCCTATTTGGCAAGGATGGATGACCTGAAATGACTAAGGTCAAACACAGGGAACCCAACTGCTGAGCTTCCTGTGTATATGTAGGGAAGCAGTCTTTCTTCTCTGCTCTCTGCCGTCTTCCCTATGAGCTGGTGTGGTCCTGAATTTCAAATATGTTTCTGCTGCTTGGCCCAGATGCCAAAATTATTAACTATAGATCTGCATTTATGCATGCACACCTGCACTGACATTCACAGTCACAAGTATTCTCCCTCCCTCCCTCTCTCTCATAGATAGATAGATAGATAGATAGATAGATAGATAGATCTCCCCCATATCCAGAGATAGCCACATAGGCTGGTTGGAAGGCCGATAAGAAGGCCTTCTGATCCTACCAGGTTGTCACATGCCTCTCAAGAATCCCACCATTAATGCATCCCTTTGGGAGTCCTCAGTGGAGAATCAAATACCTTTGGTCAAGGCAACACACCATAAAGTTATCACCTAACGTCTTGGCAGGAACTCGCTTCTGCCCGGGGAACCTCCTGATCCAGCCTTCCCTACCCACCACCTTCCCCTGATCCTGAAGAAAAGTAAGTTACCCCATTATCCACTCTCATTATTCGCTATCATTAACCTTAGATGTACCTATGATAATGGTAACGATTGCTTCTGTGGTTTTCTTTGTACAGTTGGTGACTTCTGTGGCTAGAGATCTCCATTTGATGAGGTATGGCTTCTTGTCTAGTCTTCACTTAGGGCTAGCACAGTGCCCGGTAGAGCAGGATTTGCAGAAAGGAGAAAGAAGCAGGAAAGGGACAAAAAGGTCAAGGTAGACGGTTCCAGCTTTCTTTCTTTTTGGTACAGAAGATCGAACTCGGAGCCTTGTGATTGCGAGGCAGGTGGCAGCACCACTGAGCTAAATCCCCAGCCCTCCAACTTTCTGATCTTAGGCCTCTGTTATTGTTGGGATCCAAAATGTCTCCCAGCCAGACGTAGTGGTGCACACTCGTAATCCCAGCACTGGAGAGGCTGGGGCAGGATTCATAGTGAGTTCAAGGCCAACCTGAACTACAAAGTAATACACTGTCTCCGTAACAACAACAAAAAAATCATCGATGGCCACCATAGAAATGCAAATTAAACTACACTGAGATACCATCTGATCCCAGAAAGGATGGCTATCATCCCAAAATCTAACAATAACAAAAGCTGCTCAGGATTCTACATTGTTGGTGGGAATGCAACCTAGTACAACTACTACAGAAATCAGTGTGGAGATTCATATTCCTCAAAAAGCTAAAGCTAGAAATTCCATTTGACCCAGCTATCCTCTTTCTAGGTATCTCCCCAGAGTTAAAATTATCCCATTACAGGGATATATGCCCACCCATGTTTGTAGCAGTATGATTTACAATAGCTAAATCTGGAAGCAGCATATGGGTCCATGAACAGGTGAATGGATAAGGAAGATGTGGTATGGATACACAACGGAGTACTATGCTGCCATAAAGATAGACTTCAGGCATTTGTAGGCAAATGGATGCAACTTGAGAAGATAATGTCAAGTGCAATAAGTCAGACACACAAGCTTAAATATCACATCATTTCTCTTATGTGAGAAACACTATATATATATATTTTACACACACACACACACACACACACACACAGAGCAAAATAGAAGTGATAAGTTGGAAGTAGGGAGAAGTTTAAATACTTCCTCAAATTATTTATTTCACTGTTTCAAAAATATTTTAATATATATGCTAATTTGTTTCAATTATACTACTAGCTTATCTTAGTTCATTGAAAGTTTTGTGTTATTACCGGTTTCTCTCTTTGTAAAGATCTTTTTGGTCTATGTCTCATACTCTTAGTAATGATTTTGAAGATAATGATACCAAGTGTATTAACTACTATTTATTCTGTTGTTTTTTTGTTTTTGTTTTTGTTTTTTGAGACAGGGTCTCACTATGTAGTTCGGACTGCCCTGGAACTCACTATGTAGCCCAAGGTGGTCTTGAAATAACAGCGATCCTCCTGCCTCAGCCTCCTGAGTGCTGGGATTACAGGTGTGAGCCACGACGCCCAGCGTTTATTCTGCTATTATTTTGTTGTGAATTTTTGTTTTATTTTCGCTTTAAATTTTTTTTTTTTTTTTTTGGTACTGGGGATTGAACTCGGGTCCTTGCGCTTGCAAGGCAAGCCACCGAACCGCTGAGCTACATCCCCGGCCCTAAAGGATATTAGTAGAACAGCAAGGTCCCACCGAGATTTGAACTTGGATCACTGGATTCAGAGTCCAGAGTGCTAACCATTACACCAGGGAACCCCACTGCTTTAAATTTTTAAAAAAATCTCTCCCCCAAAACTTCATTATGGTGAAGGCTGACAGGCTTTTTGGAATTGATCATTGAGGCTAATGCTCTGGGGAGGCCAAGGTTTTACAGGGAGGTGATGGAAACAGAAAGTGGAGCCTAGTTGGAGGGAGTAGATTATAGGACTTAGAACTTGGAGATCTGTCTCTGGCTCTCTTGCGCTTATTCTATTTCCTGTCTGCCATGAAGTGAGTAGTTTTCCTCCACCGTGCCCTTCTGCCGTGGTGTCCCTGGAGCCAACCCATCAAGGACTAAGACTTAGGAAACTATGAACCAAAATAAAATTTTCTTCCTTTAAATTTCTTCCCAGGCATTTATGACAACGACAAAGAGCTGACTAACATAGCCTCTGAATGTCACCCTTCCTCTCCCTTCCTCACCTGTCACAGTGGCACCATGTTATTGCATGTGAAGATGGCCAAGAGACTGCATTAGGGTGCGAGGAGGCACAGATTTCTCAGGTGGAAGGAACAGGCCCAAGGGACTTCTTGGTATGGCTCCGAACTTTTCCAAAATTGATTAAGAGCTCATAGTTCTAGAACAATCCTCGTGTGAAGAACTCCTTCTTCAAGATACTTTATGATGATGAAGATGGAAGTTTGTCGCTGAGGACACATGGTATTGGCAATAATTACAAAATACTATCAGCTGTCACGTATCGAGAGCTTATTATATGCCAGGTACTGGGTGAGCATCTTATACCTATTTATATGTAATTATCTCAGGTAGTCTTCTCACCCGGTATTGTGAGGTAAGTACATAGTTATTCCCATTTTAAAGGTAGAAGGAGAGCCAGGAGTGATGATGCCTGCCTGTAAACCCAGCACTTGGAAGGCTGAGGCAGGAGAAGAACCGTGATGATTTCAAGGCCAGCGCCTGGGCTGCAGAGTGAGTCCAATGCCAGCCGGAACTACATAGAGAGACCCTGTCTCCAAAAAACAAACAAACTGGGCTGAGAATTTAGCTCAGTGGTTCCACTACCTGCTTCGCAAGCGCAAGGTCTCGAGTTCGATTTCTGATACACAAAAACAAAAATACTTTAAACAGTAAGGTGGAGGGAGAAACTCAGAAAGAATGAGTGATTGGCCTAAGGCCACACAACTAGGAAACAGCGGAGCCAGGACAGAACTCTAAGGCTAAGTTTTTAACCATCAGGATATGCTACATTCCATTTAAACCCTCTGGAAAACCAGACCTTTTCCCTACACTCACACTCAGCAGGTATAAACGGGTACCCTTTAGTAGACTTGGGGTACATTTGGAGTCTTGGGAGACACTGCTATTCCTCTGTCCATGGTCTGGCTCCTGATTCCTGGAGTCAGAGAAGAGGAGATGCCAAAACATCTGGAATTGCAGATATCAATAGCTGGAAAGTGCCAGTTCCTTAATGTTCTCCAGCAAAATATTCCTAGACTCCTGGGCCTCCTTCTTGGAAGATGGGCCCACTTTGAATCTTTTTCTTCTGTTCTCCCAGTAGTGATTCCAAAGGCTCATTTCAGAATTATGGTCTTGAAGCAGGTGACAAGTGAGGCACAAACCAAAACCAGTCTGTATGCAAGAGAAGCCACAACTCTAAATGGGCTCTCTTCTCTTGGGGCCGGACTCAAGGCCTTAGATTATTGTGTACGGCTCTTTGCAGGAAGTGAGAACTTCATATCTTTGACACTGGATCACTGTCTCTTCTGCTCCCTCTCCCCATGATGCACTGATTTCAGCTTCATTCCTCCAGTGTTTCTCAGAGGCTGACCTCCAAATTAGATCTACGGTCACTTGAAATTACTGTGATCCCAGACTCAGGCCCCTGAAACATGGTCTGAACAACTTTCTGGGTCCTCCTTTCAACATGCATTGATCCTGATGTTACCCCTCTAGTTGGTGAGCTTCTAAAGGGCAGGGTCCACGTTAGTGTTGGATGCGGTCAGTTGGCACGCGTCTTCCGTTCCTGCTGTCACACAGTGTGTTACAGAGACTAGAGAGAGCCAGCCTGACCTCCCAGACTCCCTTCCCATCAGGTGATCGTGTGTGACTAGAGGGAGAAAAGAGGGACAGGGCCTCCTTTTGCCAATTTGGGCTCTTTGCTGGCAAGAAGAACCCCAGAGAAATGGGCTTCTCCTGCAAGATATTGGAACTTCTGATCTCTGCTTCCTAATTCTGGATGGCAACTATCTGACAAAGTATTCTTTAAATCAGTAGTTCCAGGGACAGCTTTTTGATTCCCTACTTTACCAATCATGGCAAACACAGGACTACTTCCAAGAGGAGGACTGTATAGCCTATTTCAGGGAGGAAGGGAGGGATGCGGTCAGTGGCATAGTGGCCTGCTTCAGGGCAAGCAGGGAGAGGGCAGGTGAGACTGGGCTTCCTGTTTTTGCCAAGGTGCCTTATTTGAGAGTTGTATGTCACAAACCTCATCACTAGTGTGGTGAAAGATACGGACCAGTTAAGTAGACATGAAAATATATTATTAACCATCCTCTCTCACCAACAACTTGCAAGCTTCCTCATTCAGAGGGTAGCAATGACAACCAACTCTTCAAATCACACATACTAAATATTTGTAGTTCTTTGTATCAGTTGCATCTTAATTAAATATGTTTACAACAGCACAATAAATACACAAAAAATGCAAGTGCCAAGCATAGTGGTGCATGCCTGCAACCCCAGCACTCTGGAGGCTGAGGCAGGAGAATTGCTGACAGTTTGAGGCCAGCGTGGGCTACATGGTGAGTGAGTTCAAGGCCAGCACACACTACATGATGAGACCCTGTTTCTAAAAACAAAACAAAAAGGATAAAGGCAGGGACAAAGTAAACAGATAGGTAGACAAAGAAATAGACTTGGATCTCAAAGGTTTACGGCTTATGTAAAGAGAATAGGCAAACAAGCACACCGTTCAAATGTGAGAGTTCATAATTCTGCTATCCATGCGATGTTGAATGTACATCCATGTGTGCATTACATATAAACACAGCATGACTTGGGAGTCTCTGTCTTAGTTTGAAAACTCACCTTTTTTTCACTGGCCTCAAAGGGATAACAGAGTGCTGTGAAGGTTAAAAATGCATGTGTGTTAGGAGGATAAGAATCAAGGTGAAATGATAAGCCTGCAGTGAAAGAAGGGAGAATAGAACTGCAATAAAGGAGGAGAGCTGGGAGTAGACGGGTGTGTGGAATAGGAATGAATTTAAATTGAAAGGAGGGACAGAGGTAAATAAAGAGGTATTTGAGGGGCAGGTAAGCAAGAAAGCCAACTTCCACACTCTTGGATAACTCAATCTCTGTGGCCAGAAATTAGCAGACATTAGATAAACATTTACTGAACTGAAGAACAATCTCAGGGAGGGTAGGGGAGGCAAGGATGACGCAGGGTGACAAATGCACGTGGTAATAGCCACTTGAACTTCCCGAGTTTTACCATAAGCCCAGCATTTGCTGGGCATTTAAAGGGTAGTATCCTTCTGAAACCTCCACAGTATTTGATGAGATAATTATCAGTGTCCCCATTTAACAGATAAAGAAGCTGAGGCTCAGATAGTCAGAGTCAAGATTTGAATTCTGACTTGTCTGGCTTCAAAACCAGTGTTTCTCACCAGCGCATTATATGTACCCACCTTTGAGTCAAGGGGTGTACGGCCCCTGCCTCCCTATCACCCTCACACACGGAAGTTTAGGGAAGAACCCAGAAGATATAGTCTCAGCTCTGCCTTATCAATGAGGAGAGTATTAAGAGAGGAGGGATGGGGTAAGGCCCCCCAACTGAGGAGGGACCATATTAAAGCCTCATCTTCAACAACACAAAGAAAAACAATTTGAAACTTAATCATCTCCCAGAATGATGATCCCTCCCCACAGCAGGGAGCACATTAGCAGAGCTAGAAATGATAATTCAGCAGCCCCCAACCCAGCAGGGAGGGAAAGAGAGGAGGAGCGGGGAGGAGAGAGTGAGGGAAACAGACACAGAGGCACAGAGACAGGTGGGGGGCAGGGGGAGAAGCAGAGCCTGACCTCTCAGGATCCTTTTTCCTGCCCTGCTCTGAGACAGGGCTCCAGGGGAGAGGTCTGGGGGCGCTTGATCTCTCCGTTGTGCTCAAATGGGGCAGAGGACAGTGTGCTCTCTGGGGAGTTCTCGGCACTGATGGATATCCTCAGAGCTGCCTTCAAGGCCACCCAAGCCAGGTGGGGTTTGTTGTGTTAGCCAGGGTGGGGAAGAGTTTTTTAAACAGTAGGATTGGCTGTGGGGGCCCCTTGTCCTAAAGCAACGAGGAAAATCAGTGGTCTTTCAGGACTCGAGCTGCTGGACAGCTCCCGGCCCAGCGAAGGTTCTCCCCTCAGCACCCGAGGTAGAGCGGGTGAGGCTTCTCTACAACACACACCCTCAGGAGAAGCGTGAAGGCTGCTGGGAGCTACTGGGGAAAGGGCGCTGGGTCCTGAAAGGGTCCCGATGGAGATCTGGTGGGGACCTTGAGACTGGAGCCCTGGGGCAACTTCTCCAGACACATTCCTTTCTTCTG